CTTCAAACAATTTATCGAGCTCTGATTCAGCCGTATTTTGATTATTGTTCTCCCATTTGGGGCGTCTGTGATCAAAATTTGAAAAATAAACTCCAAAAATTTCAAAATCGCGCAGCCCGAATCATTGTCGGTGCAAGTTATGAGATTAGATCTGCTGATGTTCTTCAATCTCTTGCTTGGGACAATTTAGAGACAAGACGACGTACAACCAAAGCAATATTAATGTTTAAAGTCTTGAAGGACTACGTAGGACCTACGTTGGAAAGAATCCTTGATAAGACGCAATCATATGCAAACAAATTATGATCTTAGAAATAGTCATACAGATTTGGCTCTTCCTAAGCCTAAAAGAGAATTCCTAAAAAAGAGTTTTAAATACAGTGGGGCTAAGCTATGGAATAGTCTCTCTATCGATACGAAACTGGCAGAATCAATGCACCTGTTCAAAAGCCATTTAAAACTTAACTCTAACACTATATATATTTGAAATAAATTGTAACTCCGTCTAACCATAACATCTGGGGTCACACCAATTTGTAAATAGTCTTCTTTTCCCTTATATCTTTTGTAATTTTTAACATTGTAGACGCCCCCCGTGGAAACCAACGCACCGTTGACGGGGCTAGTGTCTTTAAATAAAGTTTTAATACAATAATACAATACAATCGACATGGGTAACATTCTTGTACTATAGGAATCTTAAAAAAGCGTGTATATTTTCCTGCGTATATTATTAACACATGCAGTTCTTGAATATAGTCTTCAATGCCAAAGCCCAAAGGTTGCCCATTAAAAGGCAAAAAAAAAACCAATACCAGCCGACAATTTCAAAAAATATAATACAAAACATAATGCTTGAAGCTCTATATATCAAGTATCATTCACCCAGTTTAAACACTGGACTCAAAGCCAGCAAAGAACTCAAGCTTTTTTCTTAATCTATACACCCACATTTCATCACACTTACATCTCACTGCAACTGTTGTGTTTCTGATTGAGACTTCCGTTAAGCTGTCATCATGCCTTGCCAACTTGTATATACAAGACCATGTGTATATTGTAACTTTAGTTAGCCTGATGATGATTTTGTAATAAAATCGAAATATTACTCACTCACTTTCTTGTTTGACTCATATTTTGGGTTTCAAGATGCTTATCTTCGGATTATGTTTTGTATTATATAAAAGGCAAAAGTTAACAGAATTTGATGGTGTAATGGTATATTGGTGTTCATACTGTAAATTATCTAGTTATTTACAACTATTTATGTGTGACGGCAGTGAGTAGATCCCCAAATACATTATACATGCAGGTTCGTAACTGAAAATTCTAAAGACGTCAGAAATTGTTGGGGCTTATTATTTATTTCCCGCGTGTCTGCACATAAATTAAGAAGTGTGTCTTCTACTCTTCTGCAATCCAGTAAGTGTCAGCGGTGTATTTTAAATGCTGATTTTGATTACTTGATGTTACTGGATGTTGATGTGATTTTACTATGCCACAGTCGCATCCGAGTTGACTTGCACAGAAAACAAAAAAGATGTGAAACAAATTAAGCCATTTTCTTCTTGTTTCAGCAATGACTGTCCTTTGGGAGGCTGGCCGCCCTGAGTCCGCCCCTGGGACATTTTTGCGCCCCTACCCTGAGATTTTTCAGCTTTCTGCCCCCGAGATCTCGGCGAAAACGGACGTACTCTGCAGTCTGGCAAATCATGCGGCCAGTTCTAGGAGACGCGGGCGGAGGACGGGAAAATGAAGTCTAATTTGGAGTGGCCTAATATATGTTTAAATAAGACCTGGACGGAAAATTGTTCACACCAGTCTGAAGTCATCCTGCTCGGTACTTGGTAGACCAAATCACCTATAGATCAATACATTTCAGACCAGACTAGGCTGTCCTCTAGGAAATGCAAGCTCACAAAAGCACCATAGTTAGGGCAAGGGGAATAATTGAAAGATTTTTGACCCGGTCTCATGTGTACATACTGATACTGAAAATAATATATTTTTAGTTGGTTTATTTATATTAGCAACTTAGCAACGCCATATTTATATGCATTTAGTTGATTAAGTCTATACTTCATAGTATGTATTACACAACATATCCTTTCATTATGGGCAGCTCAACGTTGTTTACGCCTGTAAACAACCAACAAGTTTATATTTATTTAATAAATTTGATATATTTCTACCTGTGGCCTCATCGCGACGTTCTTCTCGCCTTGGCGTGTACGCTTTTCTACGTCTTGATCCGCCGCTTTGCTCTCGAGTCGTCTCTGAAGGTCGAACCATGGGTAATCTCAACAAATTTATCTTCTTAAATCATACATTGGAATAAAAATAGTTAAGAAATTATTATAAAATCTATTTCAAATTTTCAAATCTTTTCCAAAATTTTTTGAAATCTTCGCCGTTTTCTCTGCGCGTGCTTCCACGTGGTATACCGCTGGGCAAAAAATTCGTCCGGTCACTGACCTCAAATGTTGACTGGAAGTCTGGATTGCGGAAAACGCAGAAATAAATGGCCGGTTGAACTAGAGTTAGATTCCTGGCAGGGGACCCATAGTTAGGTCTAAAAAGTGCATAGATATTTACGTTCAAAATTCCATCTACAAAAATAAACTGACAAGGAAACTCCATCCCCAATTGTGAGAGCCACAAGTTTATTAGTTGTAAAACTATTATGTGTTAGCCTCGTTAATTAAATAAATAAAGTTTAAATGAAATGAAATCCCACTAGCTATTAGTTCCATCACGAAATGCTCAAAAATGTCTTTTGTAAATGTACTTTATGCCCACCCGTATTTATAGGCGTATGAGACAGGGAGGTAGGTAATTGGAGAGGTAGGTAATTAGGGAGGTAGGTAATTGGGCAGGTGGGTAATTGGGGAGGTGGGTAATTGGGGAAGTGGGTAATTGGGGAGGTAGGTAATTGGGGAGGTAGGTAATTGGGGAGGTAGGTAATTGGGAAGGGGGGTAATTGGGAAAGCTATAGAGTTACAATATACTACTCCAGAACTCACCAGGATGGGAATTGGCCATGAAATGGCCTGAAGCATCATGAAGCATCATCATGAAGCAATATCATGAAGCATCATCGCTACTAACTCTTGACGAAGGGCCTTCGCTCGAAACGTCGAGTTTCTGCTTGTTTTTTAAGGTAGTAATATAACCACTCAGCACAGCATTTTCCTGAAGCATCAGCCCATTTTGAGAATAAAGCATACGGGAAATATTCCCAAAGTGCTGCCGGGCCTGGCCTGCAAAGACAGACTATCTATTTATCTGTTGATGGTAAATCTGCCATTGCTACAATTATAACACAGACATTTGGAATTTTTATTACCCACATACGAAATTTATTTCACCAAAAGTACTATATACTTGTTTGAAAATATTTTTCTACGCTCTACTAATTACACCAATACTTTGACATTTTTGTTTTGATTTAGAACAATTTTGTGAATCAATTTTAATAATCATATAACATTGATTAAACATTGAAAGTGTCATCAAACAATCATTTTCGCAACCTATTCTAGTAATTGTCACTTTATATTAACTTTCTAAACAGTGTTTAATTATTTTTCGAATCAGCAGTTATGTATTCATGCATTACACTTATTCTGTTATAAAACAATGAAAAAACGCAGCGAGACTTTAAGTGTATCCCAAATTTTGCATTGATTATTTGCCCTTGTTCTCGCCACCAGTCTGGGTCTGGTCAGATCTACGACGACGACTTCGCTGTATCATGAAGAGCAGGGCACCAATCAGAACCACACTGAGACAACCGAATCCAATCAAGGAACCAATCAGCGTTGTGTTCGATGCTTCCGTATGAGCTGTAAAACGGTAAAAATAGAGAATTAGGATATCATAATATAATCACAGTAAAAATACATCTCTGCATTGTAACAGCTATTCCAGCTTCGGTCGGGCTCCAATTTGGTCGCAGTTTGCTTGTACTGCTTACTATTATGAGCCTGTGATACTCACTTCCAGCACTCTTGTCAGCGGACTCCTTCCCTTTCATCACTGGGCCAAACGACAGTGCATACATGCCAGACACATCTTCTGACTGCTGATCAACATCACGACGATAACGTCTGGAACATGAAGTACTTCGCGCACAGGTGGAGTTGTAGTCATACCTATGGCAGACCACCAGGTCACAGTGCAGGTAGACAAAGCGATGTTCTGACAGGAAGCGGAATGCCTGCATGCTAAAACGCTGGACAGAACTCATTCCGTACGAGTAATGGCGAATCGTTTCATCTTTGTCGCAACTGAAATAAGATGTGGAAATTATCAAAGTTACATATTTGTTTCCCAATTTTCAGAAATGAATGAAGCCAAATCTTGAATTAATGAATGAAATCTATTTGAAAAGAATAAATTTGAAGATCTTAAAGATCTTTTACCATAAGACTTACTGCTGATTCAGTCGATCACAACCAACGATTTGTTATTGAATGAATTAAATCTCACGGAAAGTGCTTGTAGTTGTCAGTAGATAATTAAATTAAGGCACATCAATATAAATGCTAAAGTGTTGAAATAGTCAAAAGCGGTTGTACACAATTATATTGTATTGTTAACCCACTAAATTTTAGTACATTTGAATCATTTTTGAAAAACAAAAATCCTTAATCTCACACGTTTCTGTAAAATCCTAAAGGGGATGAGATTACTTTTATAATATTGAACCCCCAAATGATCAACTTCCTCTTAAATACTCATTAATAATTCGTAAACCTTGTGGCAAATCATGTCAGCCATAATATGTCACGTGGAGTGACTTTATATGTTCATCCTAATTAGTATGATTATATAATGGTTCATCCTAATTAGTATTCTTTTGTAGTCGTCGTCGTGTTTTATCAGATAAAACACTCCTACTCGTGTATTAAATAGTACTTAAACTAGTGTACCAAAGGTCTGGGGTGGATGAGTTTTCGAACTCATCAATTCAGAGAAAAGTTGAAGAAGGTAGTCGCCAATCAAGTTAAGGATAGCCTATCCTCACAGAAGCAGATTTAAATCAGTGGTATGACAAATACGGTTAATTACCCTTACTTCCTTATAAATCTTCTCATAAAGTTGCTCATAATTATAGTCAAAACTTAATGCAATTGTTTCTGCCTACCCGTCAGCAATAAAGACGTATTGTGGAGTGTCGTAAGGTCTGTTGGTGGGCGTCGCTCTACACGTTTCTGCGCGCACGACAAGATCCGATTTACTGGCGTTGATAGAGTACTGGATATAAAGATAATCTGACAAAGATTTAAACACTGGGTAGTCTTGTGACGCGTATGGCTGGCGATAATTTATGCTATTGAACACATCCATTCTAAGAGAGAAATTGCCTTGACCACCTAGAAAACGATTTAAAATTAGAGATAGACGATCAGTCTGAACAAAGTTGGACAAGGAAAACATATATTCACAGTCCTTTCTGATAATTTATCTGAGTTTAGATGGTTCAGCCAAACGGATGATCCATTAAAACAAATAAAAGACAGTTAGTTTGATAATTCATTTGTGTTTAAATGATTCAAACTGGTGAATCAATCGTTCAAACAAACTTCACACATTTTTTTGCTCAGACGAATGGCAAAGCGTCAGGTTATATAGCATTATCAGTGTCGCCGCCAGCTCGATAATTGGGGGGGGGGCGAATATTATTATATTTGTGTTCACAGACCATAAAAACAATGGATTTCAAAAGAAGATATGAATATCCCCCCCTCCCCAATTATCGAGCTGGCGGTGCCACTGAGCATTCTTGAGCGCCACGATTCCAGTGTCGTATCGTCTGAATCAGAATTTATTTTCGAGCTTTAACAGCTGCTACAAGCGAAGCAAACAACTCACTATATTTACTCGCTTCAAACATGAATAATCGGCAGCCTGATGCTGTCAACATATCGTGATAAAGTAAGGCTAGATCTATCAGTCGTCTAAGAGGTTCTTTTTAGAGGTCCAGCAACGGTCATTTTTTATTATCCCAATGTTACCGCAGAAATAAATTTAAACTAAACTAACTTTATTTATACCGGCAAGACATAGCTCTGTCAGTTCTAAATTGTTCTTCCTGGAGGTCCAGCAAAGGCCTTCTCTTATTTACCTGATATTACTGCAGAAGGAAACTTAAACTAACTTTATTTATATAAGACCCTTGTAAATTGTTCTACCTAGTGGTCCATGAAAGGTGATCTCTTATTGATCCAGTGTTCCTACAAGAGGAAACTACCCGAAGACAACCTGCGATGTTTGGTAGAGTGAAAATAAACGCCTCATCTCACATTCGACAGAGGCGAAATTATACTCAGACAACTTCATATTCTAGGAATCGAATTCCGATGGGAAAGGCACATGTACTCACGCACTGTGCGATGATGATACTATTATTAAATTAACACACTTACCCACATTCACGGCAAACACTATCTGTTTCGCAGGAGCAAAACTGAAAGATCCCACCGTACGTTTTCGAGGATAAGCACAGGTCAAGTTTGCTTCGAACAAATAATCTCTAGTAATGACGGCAAGTCCGCTGCTGTTACCTTCTTCAGAAAGAACGTTCCTAAAGAAGAGAGTTTGATCGTTTTTCGAGAAGACAGTTCCACAGCCAGTCAGCGGAGTTTTTACAATCACATGAGTCGAGTTCCAATGAGCCTTACAGTATTGGCTTCGGAGATGCAGGCGGTCAATGTTAATGTGTTTTGGAAGATCTGCTCGGTCGAACACAGCTGTCATGTGGTCATTGTCGCAGAACACGTGGAAATTGGATGCTAAAAACAAAACACGTTGTTTTCAGTATTATCATCATCACCATCATTGCCAACATCGCCATCACCATACATAATCGCCATCACACCACCATGAAAACAACGTCATTGTGAGTAACCAGCATTATCACCATCATCAGCAACACGTTCGTCATCATTATCACCGTCATAATCACCGACCATTACACTATCTCTACTGTATCATTGTCACCACTCACACCAGCATCATCATCACCATTACCATCATAATCACCCACCATTACACTATCTCTATCATGTCACCACTCACCATCATCATCATCATCACCACCACCAACCACCATGCATACAACCTACCATTACAAGTCTGAGAAGACATTTGCTCAGCAAGTCTGTCTAGTTGAGAGAAGTTGTCCAAAGTAATAACATGCTGAATAACTGGATCCGAAGCCATAACTCGCAATTCATACATGGATAAACTTTGTCCAATGCCCACACTGAATATCACAACACCGGAGTTCTTCAATTGTCGAGCTGGCCATCTAACCTGACCCGAGCTTTGTCCATCTGTTAGAATCACCAAAACTTTCTTGAACTCTAAAAGAAATGGAACACATTTTAAATGACGGGCTTTTATATAGAATGTAAATACCTTAATATAGGAACACACTTAGCCTCCTCCGCAGGCATCTCACCCGTGGGATTTCAGACTAAACCCACAGATATGCCTATGTAGGGGACTAGAACACACTCGATGGACCTCAGTGGCGTATTAGGATGTTAGGGTTTGTAATCCAAGTGAGAATATATACATTTTAAGACCTAACCAGGAACGACTGCGAAAATGCAGCACAAGGTCCTCTGGTAAGAATTGAACCTACGGCCCTGCGATTCCGGTGCAGCGCTCTAACCAACTGAGCTACAGAGGCCAGCTGTTGAGCTGTAACCGTAAGTCCATGTATATATAGGTAATCGGGTGTGCGGGTTGTGATAAGGTGGACTTGAATAACTTAGATTCTTGCACTTCACCTGGTGAAATTAATATTAGGATTTTAGGGTTTGTAATCCAAGCGAGAATATATACATTTTAAGACCTAACCAGGAACGACGATTAATTCCACCAAGTGCAAGAATCTAAGTTATTCAAATCCACCTTATCACAACCCGCACACCCGATTACCTATATATACATGAACTTACGGTTACAGCTCAACAGCTGGCCTCTGTAGCTCAGTTGGTTAGAGCGCTGCACCGGAATCGCAGGGCCGTAGGTTCAATTCTTACCAGAGGACCTTGTGCTGCATTTTTCGCAGTCGTTCCTGGTTAGGTCTTAAAATGTATATATTCTCACTTGGATTACAAACCCTAACATTCTTTTATTAATTCCACCAAGTGAAGTGCAAGAATCTAAACCTCAGTGGCGTAGCCTGCAGCATGACAATTTAGTCCCGGTACGCAAATTCAAAATTATTATTAATCATTTCGTTAGAAAATAGAAATTGTTTTCACAGTCAATGAACACGAAAATATTTTCATAGCGGAACTAAATCGTCGGGCTGGCTGCGTTACTAAACACACTGACGTTTGAGGCATGTACATGTTTTCCCGCAAACAAAACTTATATAAATAGGGCTTTGCCCGGGCAGACTCGTGTATGACGAGATCTTTATTTGTCCACGTGGCAAGCGGCCACCTTGCCAGGCAATAGAGAGTTTGAGCAAGACAACGAAGTACGAAGGCATACTTGACAATTTTTGCCGTCTGTACATTATCTTGCGCATACTGAGTTAGACGTCACTGGTGGTTGCACAACGTGTCTTCCCATGTGTCGCTGTTTATGAATACTGACCATAATCCTTGCCCTGATCCAGAAAAAAACCAGCGAGACATCAGTGAAACTATATCCCGTCTTTGTCCTTCTGCCTTCGTGCAGAACGAAGTTCACAACGAATTTTGCCAAAATATTCGTTGTGATCGAAGGCAGAAGACGAAGACGGGATATGGATTCATGTCTCGCTGTTTTATCCTGATCAGGGTAAGGATATGGGTCAGTGTTCACAAACAGCTAGACATGAATCTCTAATCTGTCTTCACTCCTGACCCTAAACTCAGAATGCGCAAGGTAATGTGCAAGACAGGCAAAAATTGTCAACCACGTCGTCCTTTGTCCGACTTTGTTGTCTTGCTCGAACTCTCTAATATTTAAATCAGTGCGCAAAACACTTTCATTTCATTTCCTTAGCCTTGCCTGCTTTTCGAGTGACCAGCCGCAGACAAACAGTCAGCCAAGCAGGCAAGATCCTTACCTGAGCCTCTCGCTCCATAATATGACGTGAACATATAGTAGTATGCCTTGCTCAAAGCCGTTGCTGTTGCAGTCCCTCCACCAGTATACGAAATTCTATTCACGGCCGAATCAAACCGGTATTTATCCGAAAAATATGCCGAGAACGCAATATGAATGTTTGCGGAGTTTGAATATGACATTACGGAGACTCGTGTCTCTTCTGGGCCTAGCTTGTAGAAGGATGTAAGATCTTTGACAAATAGTTTCATTCGTTCAAAGTTTTGTTGTCCAACACTGCCAGAGTTGTCCAATATAAAACCAAGATCCAATTTTTTTTGGCATACGGTCAAGTTAGCTAAAAAAAAGAAGATATTATTTTCAACGATGCTACACTGATTTTCTCCAAAGCTAGGTGACTTGACGCGATGAGAAGCAAGCCCTCGGACCTTTGCCTTGCGAACAGTTCAAGTCGGTTCGAGTAGTTTCGAGTGGGTGACATTTTGAAGGAACTCCTTAATTTATTTGCCACCTATATACAGTATAATAAAAGGCCACCACATATAATGAAAATAATTATAAGTATTTTCACATCTGATAACTGCAGAATCAGGGATGCCGGAACCACGGGTGCAGCGGGTGCAAGTGCACCCCTTGTCTTTTGCATTTTCAACTTTGTGGGTGCAGTGCGGGTGCAGACTATAGGTGTAACGGGTGCACAAAACTTTTACAACAGACAGAATTAAACGTCGTTCGAGGATGTGTGTGGTTCACCCCCAGTCGTCAGGAAGTCGGCAAAATTGTTATCCATTTGGCGAAAGGTGAAATCAGGAAAGCATTACTTATGGAATTTTTGGCGAGAAATTACGGAGGAATTGTGCCTAAATAATTATATTCGGTCCGAAAACATTTGGTGACGGGGAGGGAGGTTGACACGAATGTAGGATCATGACGCCCTTTCATTTTCATTGGTGCCTTTTATTAAGGAGTATGCCCTCTTGTTAACCAATTGCACCCCTTGCCCTCAGCAACTTCCGGCATCCCTGTGCAGAATGACCATCATTATATAGAGGATATTACACGACGGCGAGAAGATATGACTTTTATCTTCGAGTGGGGAATCCTGAAATCGCTTCAAATAACCGACCGATTTCACTACTTTGTCATGTTTGTGACAGAACATCTAACAAACCACAGATTATTGACGAAGCAAAGTGGTAACCGGAAAAAATATTCCACCGAAGCACTTAACATTGCAGTGACATGCAGACATGTTGTTGGAAGCAACGGACAATAAGCAATTATCTGTAGTTATATTTTTGGACATGTTTAAAGCCTTTGATAGTGTTTATCACGACATGCTTCTTCAAATTAATTTTAAACATATAGGTGTATCTCTCGCAGTGCATATATAAGTGGTTTAAAAGTTACTTATTCGACAGATGGCAGTATGTTAGAATTGAAACTACCTCAGTATTTTTCAACAAAAGAATTAAAAATTATTGCTGCCTTTATCATAACAACACATGATGCACGCACTTGTAACCATCCCAGTATGCATGCATGACAAACCGGCAGTTTGTCATGGCAGAAGTACATCATTGGAACATTTTACGACAAAACATATATTGTGCATTTGTGCTTATTTCGAAGCTTTATACATACATGACACCATGCACAATTCACTCCGTTTCTTTGTTTTGCCTTTCGTATTTTCTTGTACTTTCGTTTGTACTAGTAAATATAAACTTGCTCCAAGCCTGTGCCTTTCAAAAAAGTTCATTTGGGATCGAGTAAAAAGGATACGCAAAAACTATTCGGGCGAGAGAAATGTCTCTCCTAATTTTCCACTAAAAGCTGATAGCCATAGGACAAGTACTAGTGTCAAAACATTGTGTGCATCAGATGAGAAGACACTGGTATCTGCGGACAATAATCCTTAATAATAATGAACAGTTTAGATTGCATGCGGTGGATGTATATATGTTAAAAAACTAAAGAAGCTATAATAACAAAACTGAAGCAATAACGTACCAGTTTCGGTCGTTGTCCAGTGTTGGGCATGTGTGTGAGACGCACTCCAGAACAGCGCACAAACTACGACGCTATTCAGCATTGTCTGCAGTTGCATCATGTAACGGGATTACGTTTTAAATTTTCGCAAGTCGCAACTGAAATATTCGCAACGGTCTCAAACAAGTGTCTGTATTCCTCTGGCGGGGACTGCAAAAACGAGTCTACTTTATTTCAATATTTGCTTTCCACCCCTTCTCAAGTTTCAAAATTCTTAGCCAAGTTTATCTTTCGAAGAAATTTTGACGGGCTGATTAGACTGTGGCCTATCACAAGGCTGGAAACAGGAATGTGCGTGGATAGCAAAAAAACAGCAGGTGCATGCGTTGTATACTTTCAGTTTTACGTACAAAGTGAAATGCGAAATTCTGGATTCCAAAATCCAAATCTGAAAATTGGGTAACATTTGTAATAAGTACAACTAGATGTTGCTTTTTCTTCACAAAGAGGGCTCATCTGGAAAACTATATAGACTAAAATAAAGTGGGATATAGCTTGGTAGTTTGTTCGTCATGTGTTTACACAAGACAGATGTTTCGTGCATCCTTGGCTCTTGTCATTAATACAAACATATATACAACCATATTGGCATATAGAATTTTTATTCCGCACATATGAAATTCATTTTACTCAAAGCGTAGATGTTTTTCACTCCACTCTCTCGTTGCAAGTATAATTTGGCATTTTTCGTTCTAACCTGGCCCAACAAAGTTTTTGAATTGAAATTTAACAATTGTATTTGTAGCTATCAAGAAACATTAAGAGGCAGTCCGTGTAAAAACCGACCACTCGAATTTCTTAAGATTACAGATTTCCTTCAAACTTTCTGTGTGGAAGAAGTCATTCATAAAATGAACAAAAAACGTTGACTTGGAAATTGTAGTCAGTTTTAAAATTTTTTTCGCAATTATTTTCGGACGCGTTCGAAAACAAGTTAAAACGTTAATTACGCAAGTGATATTTGAGCTTTTTTATATCTCACAGTTCATCTCACGCTTTTATTCTAACTTCTTGAAACTTACATATTTTATTATTTCCTGCCTAGGCATAAACCTAAACTAAAAATTATGCTGATCACTTGAAGCAAACAAAATATTGTGTATTTTTAAAAACGTCTTTCAGACAGCGGATTAAATATTCGTGTTAGTATGCTGGCGGTAAATTATTTTTTCTCAAAAGTGCAACGGTATCAGGTATCCAATCTATTGCAGCTACTGAGTAATATGACACATCTACTAGAATAAATAATAAAATCTTTGGGCAGTGTGTTTTTCGCTTGACAAGCGCGTCATGAACATAGTCAATTTTCGCTAATTCGACTATTTATAAGCTATAATTTGTTAATGCATTTACTTAAATTTTTCGCGTTAAAAACATACAAAATTGTTCACTATCTTTCAAATATGGCTGTTTTTTGGATAGAGACTAAGTTATAAATATGCCAGCATTTATGCTAGCTTTATAACATAGAGCAAAAGTCTTGACGCATGTGCCGACTGAAATTGACATTCACGCGTTGCTAATTTTATCCGCCGGTATTATCTTTTATTATTTATCAGT